CTTCTTTACACTGTCTTTTTTTTTTTTCATGAATGATGTCCGTCAGGTAATTTCAAAATGAGAGGATGATCTGCTGACATTGGGTTTGTTTTCTGCTTCTAGGTCAGTGCTTGTGAACCGGTGGTGTCGGAAGAAGCTGAATGAATGGACGGGTCAGGGCAGAAGGGAAGTTTGCGTTCCATGCTCTCCGCTGGCCGCGGGACACGGGCAGCACTCGGCCTCTGAACTGACCCGGAGTCGCTGGAGCTGTGGGACTCTGAGCACCTCTGAAGGTAAGAGAGCATTTGATGGCTTTTTTTCCTAACCTTCCGTTGCCCTGGATATCAAAAGGAGGATCCTATTTGGTAGCGTTGCCAGCCCTCCCCACATTTACACTTTCCGTATAGACCTTCCGCCTAATCCCTTCTCCCAAGGAGCAGTCGTCTCCTGAGAAAATCCTGGCAGACGCAGTCTTCCTCTTTTGTGATGTTACTTTCTGAACTGTGGTCGCTCACTGTTGGCCGAGAGGAGTGACCGCTGGAACGAGATAAAAATCTGCGTGTTTTTGTGTTCCCTTCTGCCATGGTACAGTAATTTCTTACAAAGACTGTCCACTCTTCAGCCTTGCAGTTGATTTTTTGCCAGAATACTTGCTTTTGTTCTGTCTTTTTTCTCTTTCAGCTCTACTGACTTGCCCCCTTTGTTTTTGCTTTCTGTGAAGTGCTGCATCTAGTCATTCCTTTGAATGTTGCTACCAGTTTGGCCTTTGCCTATTTTGAGCTGGTGCTTCAAATTTTTTTACGTGTCTCACTTGTTTAAATAATGAATATAATTACAATATCTTGTGCAGCACTTCTGCTGCAGTGCCTGTTCACTGCTGCCTTGTGTTGTCTCAGATTCGTTGCAGAGCTTAGTTTCAGCTGTAACTTGTTTGAAATCGTTTCTGCCGTTGGAATGAAACTTGCTGGTAGTGCTATGTGAACAAACCTTTTGTAAAAACAATGAAGGTTCTTGCTGACAGCCTACAGAGGCAAAGTATTTTTTATTTGTCAGTAATCTTTGTCTTTATAATTAATCTGTGGTAGGAGTGTTGGGACTTTTTAAGTTTATTCTAAGGCACCTCCTGCGCATCTTTCTGCGTAGAAATGCTTGCAGAGTGTGGACTAATCCTGTAAACATGCAGTGCCTTTCTTTGTGGTCTTCTCTGGTAACTCTTACTGACTGTGCTCGCTACTCCCGTGGAGCTCTGCCTAGGGCTGGAAGGGTGGTTCTCCCTTTTAAAAGGACACCTCATTTAAGTGGGTGTGTGCCTGCTGTAAATGAAGATGCATTGGATACGCACAGTGAATGGGGCAGGGTAGTCAAATCTCTTACACTGTAGCAGGAAAAACTAGTTCAAAATTTGCCTAAAGTGTTGCAGTGTTGTGCCTCTTTTCTGTAAGTAGTGTAAGTGTTAGGCAGAAACATTGAGGTGGCCTTTATTGTAAGGAATTGGGGGGCTGCTCTTGCCTTGGCACTGTCCTGTCCATACTGGAAATCCATGCATGTTTTCTCTGGGACAAATGTCACACAAATCCACACTAGATTTTGGAGTCTGTAGCCCCTCAGCTGCTCTGTATCTATGCCTGAGTTACATTACAGGGATTTGAACACCAGTTAATTGCCACATCCCTTTTACCAAGTGGATAATGAACACTGGACAGTGCTTTAATTTATTGTTTGGTGATTAACCCTTCATTTTGCTTATGAGCTGTTCACAGTTGCCAGCTGACATCAACTCTGCCAAGTCCACAGTATGCCAACACACAGGGGGCTGGTCAGAAGTGTGTGGTTATGTTTTAATGGTGGTCTGATAGGGGCATTTCCAGCACCAGTGTTCTGCACCTAGCAGCAGGGATGTGTATCCAAAATTAAGATTTCTGAGCCAGTTCTTTTCTTTCTGTATGCTGGATACAAAGTTGATAAGACTCTGTTATTGTAAGCATTTACATTGAAAGGCAGTGGCAGCAGATCAGTGGGCCAGTAATATCCTGGTTACAGTGGGTTTTTGCCAGAGACTACTCTGGGGATGGAGCTTGTAGGTTCTTCTGATGTTTCCACCCAGAGAGAGCCCTTTCTAAAGAGAGGAGTCTGTTGCAGAAGGTTCCTCTTGGAGTCAATGTGACTGCAGTATAGTGGAGAATCCAGACCAGCCTGTTCTCCTGCTTGCCCTGAGAGTGGTTCTTGGAGGATCTGCTCAGCTCTGAGCTCAGCTAGGCAGGAGATTTGCCCCTGGAGGTGCCACTTGCCCTGTTTGCTTTGTGGGACATCTGTGAAGGGGATGGGATCCTTCAGTGAACTCACTGGGGCTGAATGGTGAAGTCAGATCTATACAGCAACTTGCTTTCTCCCTCTGCTGCTCATCCCATGTCCTGTGTACCTTGAGCTAAATGTTAGGATAGCAAAGGTGAATAGAAGTGCATAACCAAGAATGAAACACTGCACATAGAATTTGCTTCCAAGTCTGGGCTTGATTCTGTGTCTTCTAGATAGATAACCTCTTTTGTAACAAGCTTATAAAAGCTCACAGCTTGTGAATTATTATTTAAGTAACAGTTGTGGTATGCAAACTTTGCAGTATTTTAGATGGATTCTTCTTGTCCCCTCACCAAAAATCAGTTCTATTCTTGCTCATTGCTAAGCATGCAGTTCAAGGATGGATATTACAGAGAGTGTGCTTCATTCGATATGGAAATGAAGCATAGGGAATGATATGGGTACACATTTCTCCTCCTTGTTAGCCAGTTTCAGACAAATAGAGGAGCAGATGGAAGGGAAAAGAAATAAGAATGCTATTGTTAGCAGCAAACATTGGTGTCTTTGAAACTCCCTGCTTTAATTTGCACTTTGTTTCTTAATTCAGAATTTCTTACTGACAGGTCTGACTTGAGTGCTGGTGCTTTTCCTTGTGATTGTTGTGTTTTAAGGCACTTGCTGTTTCCAGTTGCGGTTCCTTCAGTTGCAAAGAAAGACCAAAATATTTTGATCAAAGTGTGTGGGAGAAGGGAGGTAGAGCAAGCAATAGACAAGAGCTGATTAGATAGCAGCTCCTGCCACCAGCCTGGCTCTAGCTGCCAAGTTAACTTCCCATTGACTGTGGGTTTTTTTTCTAGCAAATGCATCAAGCCTGATTCGTAATAATCCATAAATTTAATCGAGCACGGAAAATGCTTGAGAACAAGAGGCAGCTGAAAGGAGTCCTCTGGTATATTGCACTATCCACAAAACAATGTATTAGCAATTAGTTGCTCACTAAAGTCACACTATAGTCATAAGCATATGTGGTATTGGTATTTTCCCATGTCTCCTTTGACCCTGAATCTACACCGTTTGTGAGCAGGACTCTGTAAAGGAGTGCATAAACGACCCCTAACAGAGGGAGGCAGAGCACGGGAAGTTTCAGTTTTGTCACCTTATTCCCACGGGGCAGGGCACATCCTGTATTGTTTCAGATCTTCAGAAACACCACAGTATGGATTGTGGCTTTATAGCAGCATTCATCATAATTTCCAAATTTTGTTGTCTAGTGCTTCCTTCATGTTCTGTCTGTAGTGCCTAGGAACATTTCACTGCTTCCCTGAAGGCATTCCGGCACCTTGGCATGGCTGCCCTTTGTGAGCAAGTCTGGAAGAGCTTTTTTGGCATGGTTGTGGTTCTTTGCTGTAAGCACAAGCTGTGAAAGCCGTATGGGGTGGCAGGCTAAAAATAACTTTTACCCTTGGTAATCTCTTAAGGAAAGATAAGTCTTCTGCCTGGGTGCTGTGGATGGATTCTCTGACGTTCCCTACAGTCAGGATCAGAAATGGGGATGGAGTTGGTGTTGCTGTGTGAGTTGCTGTTTCAGAGAGAGCAGCTAGTGTGGTGTGGCTGGGAGAGCACACTCTCTGGGATATCCAGCCATGAACTCGCAGATCCAGTGGATCCTGGCTGGTACTCTAGATTTGCTCAGTGTTCCTTTGATTCCAGCATATTGGGAAAGGAAGACCTGTGTATCCTGAGGAGACATTGTATAAGAGGGATGATGTCATGAGTCTGACACTGCTAGGATAACTTTGTATGTACTGTCAGAGGAAAAGTTGCTCACTTGGCCCTCTCTCCCTGTGCAGTATCCAGGGCGCCATGATGGATAACCGGTTTGCTACAGCACTGGTGATTGCTTGTGTGCTCAGCCTCATCTCCACCATCTATATGGCAGCTTCCATTGGCACCGACTTTTGGTACGAATACCACACCCTGTCCCCAGCTGAGAATGTTAGTGAAGCTGGCAGAAGCATCTTGGAGGAATTTGACAGCTCTCCCTGTGCAGTATCCAGGGCGCCATGATGGATAACCGGTTTGCTACAGCACTGGTGATTGCTTGTGTGCTCAGCCTCATCTCCACCATCTATATGGCAGCTTCCATTGGCACCGACTTTTGGTACGAATACCACACCCTGTCCCCAGCTGAGAATGTTAGTGAAGCTGGCAGAAGCATCTTGGAGGAATTTGACAGCAAGGAGGCAGAAGACCTACACAGACAAAACAATTTATTCTGTAACGGCACGGTTGGACTGTGGCGGAGGTGTATCACTGTACCCAAAAACCCTCACTGGTACATCTCACCAGGTATCTCCAGAGCAATTAACACTCCCCTAGCTTGCCTGAGGTGCTCCTCAGAACGTTTTCATGCCACTTTGTTCCTCCAGAAAGCTTATCTCTAGGTTGTTTTGTTGGTTGTCTTGGTTTGGGTTTTTTTTAATAAAGACAGTTGACATTTTTAAAGAGGCAAAATGGTCTATCAGTGCTGCAGATTCTGGATTTGACACATTAGACTTGATCTAAATTTAGTCTTACGCAGCTTGATTTTTACTTTGCATCAGCTGTCCAACTGGGGATACAGTTACAGTTGCTCTACCAGTCACTGTCCGTTTAGGACAGATCCTGGGATCCAGCCATAGAATAAAGATAGTTCTTTATCAGGGAGCACTGACTCCTTTTTAGCTAATCATTCACTTTGTTCACATGTCACAAGTGTCCCACTTGTTGGATGTTGCTGGATCAGCATATTTTGGACTCCTTGTACCATAGTCATGGATAAGAGTGAAATATTTATATTATTTTTCACAATGGTTGGAGGATAGAAATGTGTGGTAAACAATTGTTTTTAATTGCTTCTAAGTACATTTTGGATATTTATTGTGTGTGTGAAGCCCTTCATTTTGAACCCTCTTAAAAATGTACTTTCAGCTACATTTTCTGGAGAAAAAACATTACATGAAATACTTTTTTTTTTCCTCATGAGAATACTTTTTTTGGAAGACACTTAAACCAGCTCTGCTCAATAGTATTCTCAAAGCCAAATCTAACTGAGGCATAGAAAAGGAGAAACTTAGTGTAAAGAAGCAGATATTTCCTGTTCTTTAAACAGACATTTCTATCCCGTTTTTGAATCAAATGTTTAGTACAAGACTACATTCTGCACATGGAGTTAAGCACAGCTTAGTTAAGGGACTCTGAGCACAAGAATGTGGCAACATAGTTGAGCATCATATGCCACATTTCTTTCCCAATCTGTCAAGCATGGCAGAGTTCTCTGTGGATATAACCAGTGTAAGCTTAAAGAGTCTGCATGTTTGAATGCTGTCCCTTAGTGTCTGTTTAGTACAAGACTACATTCTGCACATGGAGTTAAGCACAGCTTAGTTAAGGGACTCTGAGCACAAGAATGTGGCAACATAGTTGAGCATCATATGCCACATTTCTTTCCCAATCTGTCAAGCATGGCAGAGTTCTCTGTGGATATAACCAGTGTAAGCTTAAAGAGTCTGCATGTTTGAATGCTGTCCCTTAGTGTCGTAACCATTTGTAAGCTTAAAGAGTCTGCATGTTTGAGTGCTGTCCCTGAGTGTGGTAACACACACATTATGCTAACTGCATCATAGTAAGGCATCTACAGATCTGTTTTGAGAGGGAATTTTTTTGTCTCAAATGGAACTCTGAGGAGCCTCCTAGCTCACATGATTGGGAAAGGAGGATTTGAAAGGGGAGAGGGCAGCAGAGGGAAGACACTAATGGTAATGTTTTCTTTTTTTCTGCCCCCCAGAAACTGATATGACTACAAACTGCATCAGTTTTTCACTCTCTGATCAGTTCATGGAAAAGTACATAGAGCCTGGAAATCACAATAGTGGCACGGATTTGAATCGGACTTGTAAGTGTTTTTCACTTCGGGCAGATAAACAAGAATGAAAAAAACACTTCTCAAATACGGTCACTAGTGGGGAAAGCTTCTCTGTATCTTGCTCTGCAGTTATTGTTCTTTACAGTAGCACAGGCAGTAGGTCAAAGTTTAAAAGGAAGACTTAAATGTGTTAGCAGTGGTGAATGCAGTACAGGAATTTGGGAGTTAACAAATTAAGTTCTTTCTACTTCAGTGGAGCCTTTGGTCCTTCTTGTTTATGAATGTTGAATGTCTGATGAAGCAGAAGTAGGGTGGGCCGAAGGGAATGTGAGATGGTGGGAGAAGGTCAGTTTCTAGAACATCCTCAGCAAACTTGACTTGTGTGTTTCTTTCACCTGCAGATCTCTGGCGATTGCAGTTTCTCCTGCCCTTTGTCAGCATCGGCCTCATGGGCTTTGGGGCTCTGATTGGGGTCTGTGCTTGTGCCTGTCGCAGCCTTTACCCAGCCATTGCCACTGGAGTCCTCCATTTCCTAGCAGGTAGGTGTCCTGCCAATCTCTTCCAGAAGCTCACAGTGCCAGCTGGAGCACTCCAAGGCTGAGCTCACTGTGCCTTGCTGCTTCCTTCCGCAGGGCTTTGTACGCTGGGCCTCGTTGGCTGCTATGTAGCTGGGATTGAGCTGCTGCACAAGAAGCTGCCTCTGCCTGATGACGTGAGGGGTGAATTCGGCTGGTCCTTCTGCCTAGCCTGTGTCTCGGCACCGTTGCAGTTTATGGCAGCTGCTCTTTTCATCTGGGCAGCTCGCACCAACAGAAAGGAGTTCACCCTCCTGAAAGCATACCGTGTGGCATAACTGTACTACAGCAGTATGGGCTTTCCCTGTCACAGCCTCTGCTCCCCCTAACCTTTACTATTTTCTTTTAGTCAGAATTTTGTCTTGTACTGCATGCTTCTTGCCAGTTGAGACAATTTAGCCTGCAGGCCCTGAAGACAAAGACCTCTGGGCTAAATGACCAAACTCTGCCAGAAGTCTGCAGAAATTGAACAGGTTTTTTAATTGGGTTTTTTTAAGAATTGTTATTTTTTAAGCTGCATTTGGTTGTTGACAATTCCCCTTAGATAGGTGTACGTGCCCCTTCCTAATTTTATTACTATGTCAGCCTGGAGGAGATAGAAGTGGTGTTGTGCGGTGGAAGAGAGATAGGAAAAGATGTAGGTAGGCAAGAATAGGAACCTCAGTGCACAAATAATAGTCAAGAGCTGTCTGCTGTGTGACTGTAGCAGGCAGTACCTACGGGGAGCACCCAAGAGACATGGGGGAACTCTGAATCCTCTGTTAGGGAAATACCGTAGCTAAATCTGTCTGTAGCTTAGCTATGGGTCTCTTATTCTCACTACTTTGCTACATTTTGTGGCATCTGCCAAAAATGATGGAGGCAGAGCATCCAGCTGTGGGAGTGCCTACACAGAACACCATCCTGAATGTAGACTCTGTACTTGCTTTTGCCAAGGAGTGGGATAAGATGGCCCTCATGGAGCTCTGTGCTGCTCTAGGTACACTGCTTCCAGGACCCAGGCTAGTTTGGTATCTGCACTACATGTGATTGTGCACTCTGATCTTAACTTGTGGTGCTTTTGCTTGCTGTGAAGTAAGGCTTTCTTCTCTCTTGTTGAAAACTACAGCACCAGTTGTAGTTCACAAGTTTTTTGGTTTTAATTTGGTTTAGTGTATGTGTGCATATGTACATATATGAACTTAACTTTTTTTAAAACTCACCTCTTTATCCTATATAGCACCCAACAGGGTTTTTTTTAAAGGTGCTGCTCTTTTCCCTTCTTGCCCAAAACCTATTGTTTAAGTGAAATAATAATAAAAAATTAAAACCCAGAAATTTTCAGCGTTGCATGAGTCTGTTGGGAGGGTGAGGGAGTGATCCAAAGTGAATGTTACTTGGGGAAAGAAAAGCCGATGTCTAGATCATTCTCTGTTTTCAGGGAAATGTCACAGAAACAAAGGTATTTGATTGGGGCTTTTTAATGAAATTCTTGGTCTCCTGCTAACTTTAAATTTTCTCCAGCTCATCACTGAGAGATGCAACACCCCATCATTTCTGATTAGTTCATATCTGCACATATTTCTTCTAAATCACTGCAACCCTAGCCAGACTAGGTGGCTACCTAGAAAATAATGTCCCAAGACTAAACCGTTTAATTCTGAGGACTTAACTCACCAAATTTCCTTACTCCATGCTTAATACAAGAAGTATGTGTTAGGAGAAATAAATCTTGACAAAACTAGTAAGTCTGTGACAAGGATTTTGTGAGACACTGTTGATGACAATGGCACAGAAACAGGCATTTTTATCTCACAGCAGATTTGGGGTTTTTTATTTTGTTTTGTGCCTTTTTTCTCTTTTTTTTTTCCAGTAGATGTTTCTACCAAGGCTGTGTTTGCTCGGTCAGCAAACAGCCCTTGTCATGATTTCCCTGCAGCTCAGGTATATCTGCTTGTATCACTTCTTTATTTTTTTCTCATGTGTGCGATAGGGATCAACCTATTACTTGTATTATCATCACTGGAATCTTTGCAATGTAAAACAAGGGTGATGGTGCAAACCAGGATCACTGAAAAAGCAGTGGCAGGTCATGCAAGATAATCCTTGTTCTGCTGTTGAGTAATTTTTTACTTTTCCTCCTTAAACAGCTTCTTTCCCTTTCTACAATGTCAGGGCCACTTGCAACCTTGTGAGAGAGGATGGGGTAATTTCGTGCAGTATCTGAGACTAAATGAAAATCTGTGCTGCTGATCCATACTGATATGGTGCTTTTCAGAGTAATTATCTCTGACTTAGATAAGACCTAACTGCTCGGCTTGTTATGTTCCTCGTTTGCCAGAATTACTAAGGCACACAAGCCTTGGCCTGGGTCAAGAGGACTGAAGTTGCTATTGTGCAGTTTGAGAGGAAACAGTGCTGTGATTTTATCTAGTATAGTTTGTGGGAGTTTTTTCTTTTTCAGAAGTTGGCAGACAAATCGTACCGTGTGATTTTAATCGGAGCAATGAGGACTCAATGCCTTCTTTGCCTCTGTCTTTAATGTCAAGACTGGTTGTCCTCAGGATACCCAGCTCCTAGAGCTGGAAGATGGTGATGGGGAGATGAGTGAAGCCCCTGTAATCTAGGAGGAGATGATTAATGACTTGCTATGCCAATTGGACGCTCACAAGTCCATGGACCCTGATGAGATCCACCCCAGGGTAGTGAGGGAGCTGTCAAAAGAACTTGCTATACCACCTACAATAATCTACCAGCAGTCCTGGATAACTGGAAAAATTCCAGCTGACTGGAAATTAGCAAAACTGACACTCATCTTTAAGAAGGGTCGGAAGGAGCATCTGGGG